GAACAATATCAATTAAGTTGATCAAAACTTTAGATAATGAAATTTTAAAATCACAAAGTGAATTAGTTCGGTCACGATTATGGACTAAAATTATGATATCTGGTCGCGCTAATACATAATAATTTGAGGCATTACATGAAAACTTTTTGTAGTTTTAAATGGCTTTATTAAATAAAAGGGTCTAAATCCTTTGCTATTACAAGAAATTTAAACACTCAAATTCTACTATCATTAATAATAAAAATCAGTCAACATAAAAATTGTATTCTATGCACTATAGCTATGTTAAAATTTGTGCTAATTTTCATTTTTCCAAAAAATTTGTACACTTGGTTACCTTTCTATTTCATTTTTAAAGTTAAACTTTGTATTTAATTTTTTTTATCATAATATTTAGAAAAACAAAAACAAAAGCAAAAAAAAAAATTATTTCAAATCATGCAAATCAGTAATTTGTAATTAGGAAAAATAAACTTTCTATTTTAATATTTTCCAAAAAACAAAAAACAAAAAAAAAAAAATAACATAAAATTTTAATTTAATTAGGATTATTATTGTTGCTATACTGTTGTTGGGTTTCATTTTAATTTTTCAAATAACAATAAATTATATTTGAAGAAAAATAAAAATATTTAAATTAAATGTCATAATAATCATGTTGTAATCTAGTGTAAATTAACTATCAAGAGTACATAAATCAAATAAAATCATGAAATTTTAAAATAAATTAGAATAAATTCGAAAAATAGAAAATTGATTTATATTGTTGATTTTTAAATAAAAAATTAATAAATTTTCAACATCTGGGTTACATAATTGCAAGTATATTTGTCTGAAATTTAGTCACGGTATTTTGTTGATTTTAATCTTCATTTTGTTTAATTTATAATACTTTAATAGAATTATTTAAAATAAATATGGAAAAATAATTATGTAAACATTTCTTTTACAAATAATTTGATTATTGAAAATATTGTTGTAAAAAAAAATACTTGGGAGTAGTTGAAGGATAACTTGTAAGGATATAAAGCTTATATTTATTTAACAAGACTATGATTATTATTACTAGTACATTTTTGTTAAATTTTTATTAATCTGTGATTTATAGATTACTAAACTTTCAAATATATTGTAATTCCATTCTAAGCTCAGCATATTGAAAATGTTTTGTTGAAAAATATTTTACACTTTCCTGCTTTTTAAATATTTTGAATGAAGAAATTATTGTTTATATAGAAATGAAAATTCAGGTCAGTGTCTTAAACTCCTTTTTGGCTGAGAAAAACAAAACACCAAAAAATAAATTTTTATTTAAACTACTATAAACCTTTTTTATAAAGTATTCTAGTATACTATGGGGTGTGAGCAAGTAAGCACAAGCATAGTTCAGTTTAACAATATTGCAGGTCCTGTAATTTAAGTTATACAAAACGGTTTTGTCAAAAGTCTTTTTTACTGTCGTTACAAATTGTACTATACGTTTAAGAATTTTGTATTTTACTGTCGTGAACTACGGTTGAAAGCTGTTTATTAATAAAGTTTTTCAAAATGTCTCTAAGAATAGAAAAATTTTTCGAAATACTTATATCTTTAAAAGATTAAAGATAAAGAGTTTAAGTAAAAGGCTGAGATTGATTTCCATTTCAAATAAAAGTTAATTTTAATTTGTAATAGCTTCGCCTAAATATACCATTAAACAATTGCATACTTTAAGGGACTTTCATTCTATAATTTCAATGAGTGAATGGAAAGGTATGAAGTATTTTTGTTTTGAAGAAATAAATTTTTTAACCAGATACACCAACAAACCGATAGACATTCAGAAAGGGTTAAACAAACAGACACTTTTACTCTAAATTTTACTAAAATTTTAAATCTTCTATTGAAACCAGCATTAATTTATAGAAGTTTATGGACCTATTAAAGTATACCTTTGCTTCTTATATAATAAATGTTTATGTTATTTTATTATGTTAACCTTAACCCGCTTAAGTAATTCGTATTCCAAATTTTACTGGAGCACTTGCATCTTTTACAAACAAAGAATATAAATGTACTGCCAATTTCTAATTTTAACTACAATCGTATAACAAAATGTCGATATTTTCCAAAGATTGGAAGATGTTTATATAACTAGAATACTCGAAATACTTTGAAATTCCCTTTTAAAAGTTCATTTCATGTCAGCAATTTAAAGATTCCGGGAAAAAAAACCTAATACCCAAAAAATTTTTTCCTAAATCTCAAATATTTCGAAATTTTAATGCTTATACAAAATGAGCAAACATTTACTAGATTAGTTTTACACATATAAGGGTTAAATATAAATCGTATATGAAATTTAATAAATTTTCAGGTCATATTATGGCCCTAAAAGTTTTTTCTTTATTCCAAGAACATTTTTGGCCCAAATAATAAAATGGTTAATTTTACTAGTTGTATCCCACTTATACTCTTGAATTTTCAGTTTTTATTTTCCTTTCAAAAAGTTTTTCTCTTTTTGTTTTTTTAATATTCACCTATTTTTTAAGCAAAAGTACCAACATAATATTTATATTGCCACATAATACTAAAATAAAATTTTTTGTCCATGTTTATTTTATCTCTTTAAAATTTTTTTAGTACATAGCTCTTCTGTATGCTATGCGATGTAGGAACAAAACATACTATTACTTTGATTTAGGATTCCGAACTGAGTTATACTCGTATACAAAATATACAATATTATTGTTATTCTCTCTTTGAAATGGAAAGCTATTTGAATCTTTATAGTTGCTATGTATGGTATGGAAATAAAAGTTAAATTTTTACTTATAGAATATTATTTACATGAGTATTAATAATAGAAGAAAAATATTTAAAAATTATATAAAGTAAAATCTATATGTATGTACAAGGTTTCTGTAAGTTGGTTTAAATTTTATTTAAAATTATATATTCAAGCTGTATTGTTGAATTTAATTTAATTTTAGTTATGAAATTAGGAGCTCTTCTATTATACATTGACCTTATTTTGTTATTTTTGAATGATATTGGGAGCATTTGACTGTAGGTTCGTCAGCTACCTAGAAAACTCAATCACGTAATTAACTGACACAGCAAAAATTGGTGGCATAAAATAAAAATTAGTATAAAAACAGGATTTTTTTGGTTATATAATGTTATGATGTTGAGTAATATTGTTGACCTAGGTATCCATTGTTCGTTATAAGTATATAAGGAAAAAATTTTTATACTCACACTGTATTATATTATTTAGTATTCTATAAAAATTTTGAGCAATTTGAGAGATTTTTCATTTTTATTTTATATTAAGGGCTCAGGCAGATATGCAATATTTAGTTTTACAACTGTTTCATCGATTATTTATATTCCATAGGTTTATATTCAAGCCCGCCCACATGCAACTGTATGGCCGAATACAATTGAGTAATCAAACATTTTGTAATTTTTTACAAAATGATTGCAATTTTTAGTTAACTCACTCGATATGAATTGAAGCAATAGTTTTGTTGCTTAAATGTGCACGCCATGATTTTACAATCAAGCATTAATTGCAAAATTAAAAAATGCATGTCAGCCTGAGCCCTAAATTCTTTAAGCTATAGTAACATACCATTATATAGTGAAAAACTGTGTATCTTTAATATTATATTTATGTCCTTGTATATTTCTGTATACATACTTACATTTAATAATGTATACTAGCATTTAACAATTATTATCATAACAAATAAAGAAAATGTTATTGTTTCAAGTTTGTTTATAAATTGTTTCTTGTTTTCTATGCATTCTAACTGCTTTTCATGTTTCATACATTTTGTTATATCTAAATTATAAAAGTGTTGTCGATTGCAACTTTTTCTATTTTTCTTGTTGTTTAAGTTAAACTTCAGTTAGAATTTAATTTTGTGAATTATTTTCATGAATTTTTATTTTTTGAACTTCAGCTGTATACACAATTTTTTATTATTTTTTTGATATTTTCAGTTCTATGCTGAATTTTATTCAATATAAACATGAAATTATGCAAAAATTTATTAAGGAAAAAAAAATAAATTTATTGTAGGAGTATTTATATTTTATTGTGTATAACACTATATTAACATGTATACAATCATACATAATATATGTATTTAAATATACATGCATATTATTATATAAAATTATGAAATAAATTTAGTGAAAAAATAAAATAAAAAGAAAATTTTTGTAATAAAGCAAGACTAGAGTTTTTAATTAAAAAAATATTTTAATGAAATTTTATTTTATTTAAAAATAAAATAGATAACATAGAAAATTTCTATTATAAATACATACATATATTTTATACAATACAGTATATATATATACTATAATTTCGACATTGAAAGTAATTTTGTAAAATTTGATTGCAATTTATGACAAAAAAAAATTAATAATTTTATATAGAAAACTTATAAAATATTTTTAAAAAAAAGGTCATTGCGAAACTTTTTCAGTATAAATGAAAATGTATTTCAACATCAATAAATTATTGTGTCAACTATAATTTAACTTGATATTTTGGAATATTAGAAAACTATTTCGATATTCAAACTTTAAAAATTAAAAAAACTTCTTTTTTTGAAACATTTTAATACAAAAATGGCTACTAATTTAAATATCGACATTTTAGCTTTCCGAGAAAGAGGAAATTCAATTATTTACAAAATTCTTTTGTTTTGGGACATTTCGAAAACAATCCCAAATTTTTGGTAACAATTTTGGGAAATTCTTAATTTTATTATTGTTATTGCCATGCAGAATCGTCAAACTACAAAATTTTCTAATAAGAGAACTAAGTGCAGTAGACATTTGTTTTCATTATTTAACTCTTTGAAAGCTTTAAAAACCTAAGTTTTTGAGTAAGGAAGAAACTGCCTAAGTCCATCCCGAAAATTTACAATCAAATTTCATTTTAAAGTTAGTAGAACTTTACTAAATAACATAACTAAATATACAATTTTTTTTATTTGTAGCACGCATCTATATGCTCACTGGAATGAAATTTGAATGCATTGACATTTACACAATGGTCTAAGTGCAAAAAGGTAAGTAATTACTGCAATTTTTCATTTTGCATATTATTTAAAGGCATTAATTTAATTGGTAACAAAAATATTTTGTATTTTGAATTTTATTTTTTACTTTTAAATAATTTTTATTTCCTCATATAAAAAATACTATTGATACGTAATGCGGTAATCCTACCTTGTGAATTCTAAGTTCTAAAATAATTCGGAAAATTTTAATTCTCTCCGTGTGTTTGTTATTCTAGGGAAATTAATCACAATCTAAAGCAATTATTTTTGGCTAATTTAAAATTTTTCTGATAAATTTTAATATTTTAAATTGTGATGTTAGCGAAATTAAGAATAATTTTATTTCGAAAGGAGGCCTGCTATTTATTTTTTATAATTATAATTGATTTTGAATCACAAACAAGAAGACTTTTATGAACACCTTATTTTGAGAATACCAATACCAAAAAGGTGCTATTATCCACAAAATCACATTTTCGTTCTTTTTGGATTTGTTTGAAATTAAAAAATTTTATAAATCAACCTCAATTAAAATACGATATTACAACCAAAACGCAGGGTTATTTAATTTGCACATCTACAAAAAATTAAAAAACCAAAAAAAAATTCAACAAAATTTACAAAATTCAATTAAAAAAAAATTTATTCGATTGATTTTTGCAATGATTTACTGATATTATGAATTTTTTGCATATTTTTCTTTTTCCTTTTAATTTTAATTAAAATTCACAAGCAGTAAACTGAAATGAAAATTGAATTAATTAAAGAAGGGTAAAAATTATTTAATTATCTCGCAGATTTAAAATTAAATTAAATATTTTTTTACATAATTAATAAACGCTTAAGTTTTTCAATAAAAATAAAATTTAATCAATAATTTGATTGAATATTTTTTTTGGTCCGATAAATATGCAATTTTTATATAAGGGAAAAATTATCCAATTAATATAGTAATATTATAGTATTATTAATATACAAGTAATATCGAAATTTTACTAATTTCGAGAGATGAAAACTTGGAAGGCCGAGGAGATGGGACAAAATGCCTTCTAAAGAAATAAATTATTTATCAATAAAAATAATTTAGGAAGCTAAAAGCGTCTAAAATTTCAGACTCATACAACTTACCATATAAATGAAAAACGATGTTACCAATTTGGAAAAATGGGCTTAGATAATGGTTAATTTCAGCGGCGATTTTGTAATTGTGATATTTGACTATACTATGAGTAAATCGCTTCTTTTCTGCCTTTGCAGAATTTAAATTTTTTCTTGTCGTTCCAGAAAGTCAAAAAGAGGTATTTTTAGGTTTTGCAGTGATCACAAATTCTAAAAGCGAGTGAGCTAGGTCGGAATTTCCTTTTAAAGAAATTGGTTTCCCTCAAAAATCTATTTGTGTATAACGCTTTAACCTATATTTTAAAATTTATAGAAGTTCTGTAAACAGATGCTATTAGACGCTGCTAGACACTAATAAGCAATTTTTTTAGGAAAGTGCTAAAAATGATTTTGTTTTATCATATTTTACTTTCTGTTTTAATTATTAAAATTATTACAATAAAAAGTTACTGATATTGTTATATTTGTGCTTCATCGAAAATTTTTATTCATAATTACATTAAAATTTCTAATTTAAGTTCAATGAATTTAAAAATTAAAACCAAATTTTTTGCTGCATCAAAAATTTTTTTTTTTTCAATACAACGCCTGTCTAAGTTTCAGTTATTTGGGTAGCATATTAGGAAAATAAAACAAAAAAACCATTTCAATTTTTCGTTTTGCTTTGTTTTTTTTTTTCGAAAGAAAAAATCAAATCTAGACCTTTAGTTACAGTTCAATGAATTGAAAATTTTTTAACGATTTTAACATTTTTCCTGGAATTGAAAAAAAAACTTTTTTTTTTCAATTTTTAAATTTATAATATTTTTAGATTATTTCTACAAATATAGAAGTGTCATTTACCATTGTTAATAATAAAATTGTAGTTCAATGCAACATTCTCATACAATTCGACTCTTATGAAGTTAAAGTTTTAGTAAATCGATTTGATTCCTGTATGACACAACTGCTGTATGGGTACGGATTGAATAATTTTGATTTTATATTTTAGTGACTCATTTTTTTAATATTTTCATGCTGCTACTGCATATTATAGAGATGCAGACACGAGCCATTGCATTACCCGTTCTGAGAGGATATTTTTTTGTTATTTAAATATGCACCCGATTGATTTCGTTAATTCAGTTCAATGAGAAAATATCCTAATAATAAAAATTTTTGAAATTCAGTTTTTAGAAAATTTACAATTTAAATTATCAAAAAAATATCTTTATTTGTCTTACACTGTCCGCCGTTCACGCACTTTTACAATTATTTTAAACTAGTATACAGCTACAGGATTCTATCTACAGCTACAGCTAGGATTTCATCTTTAATATTTTTTATATTATTACTCCATTTTAAACAATTTCCAAGAATTCAGAATATATTTACGCTATAACTAATCGCTTTATATAATTCACTATGGCATTTAAGGTATTCCGCGTGTTATGATCACTTTATCAATATATTTTCTTAATTATCAAACCTATATATAGACACAGACATATAGCATAAAGTGTATAATACATATAAGTAAGTATTATAAAATATTACACGATACAAAATATTTAAACTTCTATTATACAAAGTAATAAAAATTCTTAAAGTAAAACAAATTAAAAACTTTTTACAAAATATTTTTTAACACCATAAAAATTCTTGTAAAAGCAATTAATTTAGAAAAAGAAAAATTAAAGAAAATATTTTTTCAAGAAAAGTTATTGTTTTTTCCTATCCGGCTTCTTTTCACTATATTTATATTTTATACAATAATTTTTAAGGACACTATTTAGTATTTACAAAGAGTACCTATATAAGATTTTCTTGGGCATTATACTAGAACATTAGGTTTAAAGAAAACAAAATAAAATAATAACAATAATTTTTAAATATTTTTCAAATAAATTTTAAAATGAAAATTTTATTTCAGAAAATTTAATGGTTCTTAAAACACTTGCCTTTATATAATATAGACATAAATTACATAAAATAGCTATATAGTTTGAAAATATAAGAAAAAAAAAAAGCATATTTTTTTTCTTATTCTAAAAGTTTTTAAGTTCAATTTAATTTTCATTGTCCTTTTGTATATTTTTTTGTTGTACACTGTAACCTGTGTAAGTGAATAAAATTCAAATTTGTAACATTCTTTGTAATATAGTAAATTGTTTTATAAATAATTATTATTAAAAGATTAATAAAATAAAATAATAGACTTTTGATCAAAGGATTATAATATTGAATGAGTTGAAAAGTTCAAAGGATTCTTAAAATAAAATTTATTTATAAACCATTTTCCTTTTTTTTTGTTTTTGTTTTACATTTAAACATGAAATATTTCGTGTTAGTTAATTGGCAGGATAAAATTAATATTTAAAAAATTTTTTTTTTATTTTCATCAAAGAGTTCGAGACTGATTTACTTTTATAAGATACAAAAACCTTCTACCTACAATTTGTTTAACACAAATTGAAGTCTTTTACAAAGATATTAAAAGTTAATATCAAAATAAAAAAAATTAAAAGGCATAAAAATAAACTTTTAATCATAAAAATCTCAAAAGCTTACATATTTAATATGTTTTTTATATAGACAAGGCATTGAAATGTAATAAAAAAAATCTGATGTGGTCAGCACATAACCGACCGCATTGTGTATTGTCTAGTTAAATGAAAGTGTTACAGAATATTATAAAAATGTCTATTAAATACTTCTTTCCAATTTTTAGGACATTAGTAAGCTTATAGTTAACATACTTAGAAAAATATAAATTTGGCTCTTAGTAGAGTTTCGCTTTGTGCTACCCGAATTCCCTGAAATGCTCGCCAGTTAGTTTCGGTAACAACCAGAACTCAAATATCAAATTTCAAGAAATTCCATCAATTTGTTCTGTGGATATGGTGAAAAATGTAAAATCGGCCCGCAAATCAGTTCTCGAGCCCTGATCTTTCCAAAAAAGTTATATGTTCATTGCTTTAATATGAGGAATTCATATATTAAATTTCAATGAAATCGGTTGATTATTTCTCTTTATATACACAAAAGTGTATGTTTGGCCCGTAGTAAACGTCTAGTTGCCGATGCCTGATCTTTCCAAAAAATTTACATGTTCATTGTTTTAATACGAGGAGTTCATATATTAAATTTCAATGAAATCGGTTGATTATTTCTCTTTATATACACAAAAATGTATATTTGGCCCGTAGTAAACGTCTAGTTGCCGATGCCTGATTTCTTCCAAAAGTTAGGAATTTTTGCGTTTGATCGAGCAAAGCTTATATATGAAATTTCAAGTAAATCGGTTAAATACTTTCTTCAAAATGGTGAAAAATGTAAAATCGGCCCGCAAATCCGTTTTCGAGCCCTGATCTTTCCAAAAAATTTATATGTTCATTGTTTTAATACGAGGAGTTCATATATTAAATTTCAATGAAATCGGTTGATTATTTCTCTTTATATACACAAAAATGTATATTTGGCCCGTAGTAAACGTCTAGTTGCCGATGCCTGATTTCTTCCAAAACATACTAATTTTTGCGGACAGTCGAGCTGAGCTTATATATAAAATTTCAAGTAAATCGGTTGAATATTTTCTTCAAAATGTTCAAAAATGTAAAATAGGCCCGCTAAAAAGTGCAGTTACCGAGGCCTGATATATACCAAAAGTTGATCGATCCGTGCCATGGTGGAAACAAACTTACATATAAAATTTCATCAAAATCGGTTCAGCCGAACTTGAGATACACGCGTGCACACACAGACCGACAGACCGACAGACCGACAGACCGACAGACCGACAGGTTGCTAAAAATAGTTTATTTACACTTCCCTACTATGGAGAAGTACGTTCCCACCGAAAACTCGATATGCAAAATTTGTTGCCATCACATAACCTACCTATTGTTTAC